CTTCCTCCCCTATTGATATGGAACAGCGTCTCTCCTCTCTTTCTGATACTGTTGCCTCTTTGGCTGGCTCGATTAAAGAAGGAATCCAACAAAACAACCTCATCTTAGCTCGGCAACAAAGCCAAGCTAATCAATAATTGTTCTCTTTTTCCCCCTTCTTTATTACCGATTTATCAGTGTGTAATAATGACGGACAACAATAAACATAATTTTTCCCCTCACCCCTCTCCCCTTATTAAATTTGGTCAATTGAATGTTAATGGCTTATGTTCTCCAGTTCGACAACAACATTTACTTAATTTTTTTCTTCACTCTTCCTTTGGTGCTCTATCTGTTAATGATACGCGTCTTTCCCCTTCAAATGCTAAATTTATTTTCAAAAATGAACACTCCCAACATCATTTTAAGTCTTATTGGGCTTGTTCATCTTCTTCTCGCCCTCATGATGGTGTTGGTATTTTGCTACGTAATCCTCTTCATAAGCATGTCCAAACAATTGATCCTTGGAAAGGTCGACTTCTTAAATTAGATTTGTTCTTTCATCAAACCAAAATCTCTATTATTTCTATATATTACCCTCCTTCTGGTTCTATTCATCAATCTATTTGTAATGATCTTATTACTAAACTCCTCTCCTGGCTTGATTATGCCAGAAATAATAATTATTTTGTAATTATTCTTGGCGACTTTAATATTGATGAAGTCGCTCATTCCCATTACACATCTAATCATTTTAAGCTTCTTCGCTTGCTTTCTTCTCGGTTTTTTACCGATCATCAAGCTCATTCTTCTACAAATGGTCCTGATCCCACCTTCTTTCATGATAATGGGTCTTCTAGACTGGATTATATTTGGTCTTCACCTGGTTTTCCTGCCCCTGGTTTTTTTTCGCAAGTGGTTACTTGCCCGAATCTCCTTGATCGTCCTTTTACAGATCACAAAGTTCTTACAACTATCTTTGACTTCAGTTCTTGCCTGGCTGTTTTGGCTAAATCTCGTCTCAAACAAAAAAAAGAAATGCGTACAATTTTCTCTTACGCTTCCACTTCAGTTAAACAATGGAATAATTTTACAAATGAAGTAGATGATTCTCTTGGAGTTTATTTAGATAGACAATATCACCCTAATTTTGATTTCTCCTCTCTTTCTCTTGATCGTATGTGGCATGCATTGAAAGCAGCCATAATTAGTGCTGCAATTGAAACTTTACCCTTTCAAAAAGTCTCCAATACACACTGACATTCGTACTCTCCTGAATTAACTAAACTTATCGCTATTAACAAGTTTTTAGATCGATTTTTATATCGCCTTACTACTCGTCGTTCTAATCGGCCTACTCAGATTGCGCAAATGACTGCCGCTTTGCCCTCCCATCTTGATAATCTTGCATCCTTACTCCCTGACTATTCAGTTCCTACCTATTCTACTACCCCTGCATCTGTATTTAAATCGTTCTTACGATCACAGAAGAATTTAGTTTCTGCCTTTTTATCTACTAAATTTGCCCAACACCTTACGGACTCCGTGGAATATTATACTGCACTACGTGACGAACACTTTTCGAACTCGCTTGGCACCTTTATAGATTCTGCCCTATCAGTAGAAAAACGCTCGATTGTTCTTGACCGTGTT